GGGGAAAATTTTTTATTTTTCCCTGGCCCCCCTAAAAAAGGAACCGGAAAAAAAAAAGGGGCCACCTTCCCACGGCTTCGGAGAAGGACCGGGCGCCTCGCCGTCGCCACCCCCGGGGGATCTCGCAACCTCCACCCCCCCCCAACCGCCGCCTGCACATAGTCACCCACGCGAAAGAGCGCGCCGCTGCCCGCGCCAGAGGCGGCAGCGAGCAGCTCGGCGTCGGCATCGGCGCCGAGGCCGGTCTTGAAGCGCTCGAGCTCCGCCATCGTCGGCTGGACTCCGTCCCCGTACTTGAGCCCCTTGACGGAGAGGTGGCGCAGCAGGAAGCCCTCCTCAAACTCTTGGTTGTCGTAGTAGTATACCTGCCGGCCGCGAGAGCTCCTCACGCCCGTCCCGACGTCCTCGCCCTTGGCGCGGAGCTCGTCGGCGTCGAAGAGCTTCGGCGTCGGCCGCACGCGCCGCTTCGTGCCGTCCTCCTCGCCAAGGTACGCCGCCAGCCGCGGCACCAGCCGCACCCGCGCCCGCGCGCCGTCCACGTCGATGTCGACGACCTGCCCGAGGTCGTCCTTGTAGTCGTCGTTGCGCCGCATGCGTACCCACGCGCCGGGGTGCAGCGCCTTCTTGTCGGTGGAGCGGATGCGCATCACGTCGGTCATCTCGCGCGGCGGGACCTGCGGGGGCGGGAGGGGGGCGGGTCGGCGGCCGCGCGCGCCGAATGCGCTTCGGTGGCGGGGCGCGCGGCGCCTGCGTGATGCGGTAAAAGAGGCCGTTGAGGCCCTGCGTCGCCTCGCGCACGTGCGCCTCCTTGAAGGCCTCGACGTAGATGTAGCCCTTGATCTCGGTGCAGAGCGCCGACTTGATGGAGAGCGGCGTCCCCGCCTCCGCCGCGTCGAGGTACTTTTGCATCAGCGAGATGATGAGCATCTTCTCGCCGCCCGGCTTGCACTTGAGCAGCCACAGCTTCGGGTCGCGCGTGGCGTCGGGGAGCTCCTGGAAGCGCGTGTCCTCTCCAAAGTCCTCGTCGTCGTCCCACGCGCCCTGGTCGGGCCGGTTCTCGTACCGCTCGCGCACCTGCGCCTCGAGCTTGGCCTCCTCCGCCTTCCGCCGCTCCGCGTCGAGCCTCCGGTTCTCGCGCTCGACCGCCTTGGCGTCGACGGCGTCGCCGTCGTCGCCGTCGGCGCCGCCGTCGCCCTCCTCCTCCTCCTCGTCCTCCTCCTCGTCCTCCTCCTCGGACGCCTCGGCCTCCTCCTCGATGAACTGGTTTGCGCCGGCGGGGCGACGCTTCTTGGCGACGGGCTGGTCGTCGTCGTCGTCGTCGTCGTCGTCGTCACGCTTGCGCGCCGGGTCGTAGTCCGCGTCAGACTCTGAGTCCGACATGCGGTGAAGAAGGGTCCTGGCCAGCGTCGCTCTCGCAACGCGGAAAAAAATCCTCCGGCCAACGCGAGAATTTTACGGCGCTCTTTCACAGCACACATGCTCATGTGAAAGAAGACTCGTGATTTATTCTTGGTTTTCAAAAATCTCTCTGATACTGCATTTTCTTCTTGTCGAAAGGTCTGTGTAATACGGTCTGTCTTTCGTGTTTGTTGTTCTACGTGAACGTGTTTGTTCGACGTCGTCGAACAACGTTCGACCATGGCACTGTTCACAGCGCGCGCGGACGGCGGTTCTGCGACTCCTGCTCCGCAGGACTTTTGTAAAGCATGCTTGTAGCTTGTGGCAAGTTACAGACGCTAGTTCGACTTCAGATACTCAAACCCGAATTAATAATTAAGGCTCAAAACATGCTACATGGTCGAACAACCGTCGAACAAACAGGTCGAACAACGAAAAGAGACTAGTGCGACCGCTAGACGGCGGTCTCCGCCGGCCCCAAGGCTGCCCAGCCCCAGTACCACACCGGCCACGTACACCGTAGCGCTGGAGTCGGTCAGTGAGGCACTAGACGGGCTACGGAACCATGCGCGCGCCGGCCGGACAGGCTGCGCGCAGGGGTTGCGCCGCCTCAATTTCGCACCTCCGCTCCGCGGCCGGCTGGAGGGGCTAGCTCGCCTGGCGACAAGCCCAGCCATCGCCCAGCGCCCCGTATCGACGGGGGGCACGCAAAAAAACCGCACCTACGACTAGGGTGAGCACGTGAGGGCGTCGGTGTGGGCCGCGGGCGGGCTGCCAGGAGGGCGCGGGTGGGAGCATGGGAGATGCACCACCGCTCGACGCGAAGACGCGCCCGACGAAGCCCTGCTAGCGGAGGATGGTCGATCCTCACCTACTAGCGTCGGGCGTGTGCGAAAAAGAGCGCAAATCGGAGCCTGAGCCCTGGCCTCGACACCTCGACACCAAACCTCGACACCAACTCGACACCTCGACACCCCATGCCAACTCGACCAACTCGACACCCCTCGACACCCCTCGACACCCCTCGACACCATCTAGGCTGGTACCACGCTCGCCGGTGTCAAGGTGCCAAACTCGACACCGCTCGACACCGCTCGACACCGCTCGACACCGCTCGACACCGCTCGACACCGCTCGACACCGCTCGACACCACCTCGACACCGCTCGACACCACCTGATTTCTAACTCTGTGACTCCAGTGGGTCTACGTCTCTGCTGTGTTAGGATCATCAGAGGTGTC